TCTGGACATTCGTTTTGGATGTTCTTTATGTTGTTTTTTTTTTTTGGGGGGGGGGGTTGGACCCTTCCAAGCTGTTTTCTTTGCCTAGAGTGTTTAATAAGCTAATATGAAGGAAAATTATGTTATAATGTGGTTGTGATTTCCATCTATTAAAAATGATTTTGTACTTGAAATACCTTAAGTATGTGATGATAATTATGATTGTTATGATGTGAGTAATGGAGATGTTTATAGTATATTTATGATTTTTGAACATGTTAATGGTTGATGAACATGATGATGAGTATGTTTATGGTTGAAGAATATGATGATGATGAGTATGTTGTGGTAATGAAAGATGGGTGATGTGAGAAGAATCTCAAGGAGAAATTCTATGTTTAAGTCAGTTGTGGTGAATGTTTGATAATGAGACTTTGGAGAGAAGGTATCCTCATATTTTACCAACCATTCAACTCATGTCGAGTGAATTGGGGTGGTAGAGAGAATGGCAGAAGGTCTTATCCTGACCCTTTGGGTCGTGTAAAGGAAGATCAATCTCATGGGAAAGTAGGTCGTGTGACCCTTGTTTATGACTTTGTAAAGTATAAATACTATCATGGGTGCAAACTTTCAGCGAAGTCTATTGGATCCGGATCATTGAGTTGAGAGGTTAAATTGTTATATGATCATGTGTTTGATGGGTTGGTGTGGATGTGGAAATATGATTTCTTATATGAATTATAATATGTTGATTTCTTTGTATACTAGCTTACACTTGCTTTGTGTTATTTGTTTGTGTGTGTTTAACAATGATAACCATTTGGTGTGAGCAGAGGATGTTGTAGGTGTTAGCTCGCCGCTGATGGAGCTAGAGGATGCGGTCGAGTGATATTCGGAGTTTAGCATGTAGATATGTATATAAATGCAGATATATAATTGCTTAGACATTTTGTATAACGGTCTACCTCTTTTAAGATACTTTGTGTTTAGGAGGTTCTTAAAATATGTTTTTGTTGATATAGTTATTACTTTGGATAGTTGTAACATAAACTACATGTTTTCTTATCTATCTGCTATGTTATACCAAATATATAATATTTTGTTTAGTAGATTACTCTATTAAATGGGATGTTACAATGTCAACCGAAATTGGTATACATGTTTTTCACATGATTCTTCAATTTTAAACAATCATCCATTCACATCATAATACACCTAACACAACAGTAACAAAATTAGTAATTATCTTTCATTATCTCATCACATATATCATAAATCATTCAATTTTCTCATCACAGCAAAACCACACCATCAATTTAAATTAACTAACTTCCTTTACATAATTGTAAGCTATCAACGCTATAGTTCCACTATTTCCAAGGATCGCTTACTCACATAGAAAGCAATATCGTCACATAGAAAAATCAAATCAAATATGTGATCACATTCTCATAATCCTAATCAAACATAGATTCATCCTTAGAACTTAGATAACACATGCCAGCCTTCAACACCTCACATACAACATATATACTAAAAAGGACTTTAAAATATAAAAAATGAATTAAAAAACTGATATGATAACATTATAGACTTCAACCTCAGGAGTATATGATATTCAAGACAAATAAATTAGAATTAAAAAAAATTAAAGATGAAAAGAAAGATTATAGATTTTATAAAATAAAATTTGAATTGGTTATTTATAGCTTAAACTATGTAATAATAAACTAATCAATATATCTTATAAAAACTACTTATACTCTATAAAGTACTTTTTAATCCTTATATTGTTCACTTCAAATTCATACAATTTAGTTTCAAAAATATTTTATGTTTTCAATATGTAAGTTATTTTTATTTTAAGTCCTTAGTGAAATTTTCTTTGAAGTAATAAATTAAAAGTTTTGATTTATATGTTATCATGTGAGTACTCACTTTTAGGATTCATTTAAAGTTTGTTACTTTAAATAAAGGAATAAAATAAATTTTCATAAATTTAATGTATTTATAAGATTTTTATTATTTTTACGTTAGTTTTATATATATATATATATATATATATATATATATATATATATATATATATATATATATATATATATATATATATATATATATATATATATATATATATATATATATATATATATATATATATATATATATATATATATATATATATATATATATATATATATACACTAGTGAAAATACATGTGCTATGGACATTTGTGTTCATTTTTTTTCATGATTATAAAAAATAATAAAATTATTATTATTATAGTTATACTCCCTCCATCTTTATGTATAAAATCTTTTCAACTATTTTTTTTAAAAAACTTAGTTAGAAATAATTTGTCAATAATTTATATTATTTCAAAATTATTCTTACATATTTAAAATTAAAGTAGTTGAAAAAAAAGTTAATTTATTTTAAATATTTAGTTAATGATATTTTAAGAAAATAATAATAATGCATCGTTGAATTACAAAATGTAAAGTGATAACAAACAAAATGTGAGTGAGTATATATTTTGTTTGAGTGGATTATATAACAAATATTTTGAAGTTATTGTATGAAATTTCATATCTCCATAATTTTTGAAACTCTCGTCACAATTTATTTGTGTTTTGACCACGCGTTTGACTTAGTCAATGTCTTATATAACTCCCATGATGAATTTATAATACAAACATGAATATTTGTAGATGCAAACGCTCTTTAAAATAGAATAAGCAATACATTATAAAAAAATTCAACAGTAAAAAAATTAAACAGACACAAATTCATAGAAATATATAATAGTGCCCATCAAACATTTAAGTACTTTAAGAGCTATCAAAATCATATTAACTAAAGCCTCAACTGTTTTTATTCAAATTAATGTCTAGAATTTACTTACTAACTAAAAATTAAAGGCATAGCTAATAAATATTTCACATTAAGTAATGTCATTCCTTTAAAAGCTACTCAACAAATAAGTAATACTTCAACTAGTTCATTCTTAAAGTTTTAAAGAGTTCCAAGAATATCTTTTCAAATTTGTTCCAAGAATATCTTTTTAAAGTTCATGTAAAGAGTCACAGGTATTGGAAATCACATAATAAAAATGCTAATCTGCAATTCTTTTTCCTACAAAATAAGAAGAAATTTTGAAATTGCAGAACATTTTCTAAGAATAGTTATCTGATAAGAAGATAAAAGAAGGGAATTAAGCATAAAATGGTGTAGTTGTGTATACTTTCAAAATGGTGCAAGTGCTCTTATGATGGCTTCATTCACCGCTTTTCTTTCTTGAAGTTTGGAAAAGAGTTTTCACCAACAATTTTATGAAAGCAAAAAGAAAATATAGAAAGAAGAAGAAACGGTTACACAAGAACAATTGCCGTAACCATAACCAGATGTTAGGTTCAGAACAGAACATTATCATGTCAAACTTTTCAAATAAAAAACACATAAATGGTTCAACTAACAATTTGCAGACAAATCCAACCTAATTAACTCTCTGTTCATGTGTATTTGTTAAGGTTAGAGGACAACATAGACAAATGTTATTCATGACTGATCATAAACACACACAAACAAAATGCTTCCATCTTAATGGAGACTAGAAAAATGGTTTAGAAAGCTTCCATCAAATTACTAAATTAATCTTGACATAGTGAAATATTGAAGCTTTGTTAAGTGTGGAGAAAGAAGAATTGAATTGAATGGTTAGAAGTGGTTGGGGGAGCATGGGGAAGAGAAAGAGGAGACAGGGTTGGAATTGAAAGAGAGTCTTTGGTCGAAAGGCGCAAAAAACAAGGGAGTTGGCACCTGACACGCAGGCAGAGAGCATTGCCCACGGTGGCTATGGTGCACTGCACCTGCTTCTTTGCAGTAAAAGCCCTCCTCCACTATCTAACTGTAAAAAACAAACCACTGTAAACTTTTCTGTCTTATGCTTACCTTATTCATACAATCAGATTTAACTATTAACTATCAACTCATCACAGTCAAAATAACTATTTTCACATCTTTTCTTTTGGAGATTCTGCTCACACTTAAAACATAATATTATTTTAAACAATCATATCAAGCAGATAGTATTGATGTGATAGAATTTACTTACTTTACTAGATGTTTTTTTTCTTATATTTAAGGTATAAAAAATTATTTTCCAAAATCTTCCTAAACTTCAATATAATACTAACAAACTAATATATTTATGATTGAGTCATGTGATATGTTTCACATAAGTAAATAAAAATGCACAAAAATATCCTGAGTTGTGTTATGTTTAAACTCTTTCTGTAATATATTATCCCTAACAAGTTATTTTACATAAGACTAAAACTAGTTTAAAATTATTGATTCTATTTTAATATTGTGAATTTATAAATATTCATAAAATAAGCATGAAAGAAAAACAAGTAAAATTAACTAGTCTCATGTATAATATTATTTAAAAACGGTTTTTGAAGAAACTAATATAAAAAGTATGGCCTACTATGCACACAGAAAATTAAAGTTTATAATATAGATACGATTTTTTTTTTTTTTAAGAAATCCTTGTTACAACATGCACAGAATCTTAATTTTTACACATTTATTTAAGTTTTGTTTCACATTTAAAAGCATTTAATAAAGTCTCTTTTAGGATAAGTGGAACATTTATTATTGTAAATAAATAAGATTCATCTATCACAATATAGAAGATTGATGGGAGCTTATAAAGCTTTCAGAGAGGAAATCACAGCAGATGAATCAATGATCTATATAGGTAAGGTGGATGGTAGAATTTTCTCTGTGAAATACATAAGATATATTAAAAAATATTACAATAATTTTGTTGGATTTTTGAAATTTTGTTTTTGAATTAAATAATAATAAATATAATATTATTTAGGATGATAATAATATAATTTGATTGAGATGTTGGAATGAAGAAAAAAGGCTAAGGACACGGTAGTCATTTGGGATAAAGTGGAAGGACAAAAATAGGCTTATGTCCTGTTCAGTGGCTTTTAATTGTGGCTACCCCGTTTTATAGAGCAGAAAAGCGCGAGGAAGGGAATGTGTGATGAAAATGGCATCCCATCTCATAACATGAGTAGGGAGACAGTAGTCGGAGTGGTAGCAAAAAAAAATAAGCATGGACTAAGTTTCGCAATCAACACAAAGCCACACCTATAGAGAGTGACATAGCAGTGCCAGAATCCAAGCAAAAGCACGGAACAAAGTAAAAGAAAAAAAATGACGACTGGTATAGTACGAGACCAGAACCTGGAGAAACACATTCACAAGCAGATGGGGTGCATGGCTGGCTTTCTTCAGATCTTTGACCGTCATCAGATACTCACTGGAAAACGCATCTATTCCCCCAAACGTCTACCTCCGGTAATGTTTTTCACTCTCTACCACACCTTCCTCTTTCATGCTGCCATTAAACTTTTTTCACTCTCTACCACACCTTCCTCTTTCGTGCTGCCAATAACTTAACTTTCTTTCTCTTGTCTTCTTTAGGCCTCACCGGAACCTGACAAAGTTACTGCCTCGCCGGCTCGTTCCACGCAGTCGCCGGCTAGGGAGGTGGTCCAATCCGAACCCAAGGCGAGTTCTCCTGTGCTCCCTGTTCTGGAATTCAAGGAAGGCACGCGTTCCTCTTGGAAGTTCTCGCGAGAGGCTCCGAGACTGTCTCTTGACAGCAGAGCCATGGTGGACGCAAAAGGAACTCTTCACCTTCACGCGCGAGAGATCCCCTCGGAGAACGATGGAGACAAGCAGCGTCGTTCCACCAGCGTCATTGCCAAGCTTATGGGCCTGGAGCCCCTGCCCGATTCAGAGCCCGGACCAGGGCCCATAGCAAAGCTGCAGAGATCCGCTTCGGAGTCCAGAGTGTCCAGAGATCTGTCTCTGCCTCTGCCACTGCCACAGTGTCGTTTTCTGGACACAAACAATTTCCCAAGCGCGGTTCAGGTCACCAATGTGGTCCTTGAGAATAATAATGCTGCCATCGATGCCCGATTGAGCAATGGCAGAGCTGCAGATCCACCCAGGCAGAGGGCCAAGAAGAGTTTCTATGACTCGGCGGATTTCTTCCCCGAGCCCAAACACACCGCTTCGGTGTACGGGGAGATTGAGAGGAGGTTGCGGATGCGAGGGATTAACGAGCCATCCAAGGATCTCCACACTCTCAAACACATCCTGGAGGCCTTGCAGCTCAAGGGGCTTTTGCATTCCAACGGCAAATCCAATCAATCTCCCATTGTCGTTATGAAACCTGTCCGATCGGTGAACCGGACCGGTAGCGATTCTCCTCCTCCTGCCCCTCTCCTCCGGTCCAGTCCTCGCCGGAACCTCCGTGTTGGGAACGAGAACAGGAGGATTGACCAAAACGAACGAGGTTCAATGAGTCAAAGCAACAGAGCACTAAGTTCGAGTCCAAACAGGAGAAAGCAACGAATAGTGGAACCTCAGAGGAAANAATAATGCTGCCATCGATGCCCGATTGAGCAATGGCAGAGCTGCAGATCCACCCAGGCAGAGGGCCAAGAAGAGTTTCTATGACTCGGCGGATTTCTTCCCCGAGCCCAAACACACCGCTTCGGTGTACGGGGAGATTGAGAGGAGGTTGCGGATGCGAGGGATTAACGAGCCATCCAAGGATCTCCACACTCTCAAACACATCCTGGAGGCCTTGCAGCTCAAGGGGCTTTTGCATTCCAACGGCAAATCCAATCAATCTCCCATTGTCGTTATGAAACCTGTCCGATCGGTGAACCGGACCGGTAGCGATTCTCCTCCTCCTGCCCCTCTCCTCCGGTCCAGTCCTCGCCGGAACCTCCGTGTTGGGAACGAGAACAGGAGGATTGACCAAAACGAACGAGGTTCAATGAGTCAAAGCAACAGAGCACTAAGTTCGAGTCCAAACAGGAGAAAGCAACGAATAGTGGAACCTCAGAGGAAAGTGTGTGTTGATTCAAGAAGGGGGTCTGTGTCTGTCTCTCCGGTTCATTCTCCCAAGACGAGCCCAATAAGGAATGCAGGCAATCAGCAGGTGTCATGTGGATCGCCTAGGATGAGAAGAAATGTGGAGCCTAAGTTGAAAATGCTGGGTGGGGCAGAGGATGAATCGTCCACAGTCTCAGAGAACAGCTTCAGCACCTCTTCATATCCCGATACAGAGGTAAAATACTAAACGAGTGCGTGCAGTGGTAATAGAAACTGTTGTTTCTGGTGGGTACATATGATTAAGCAGCTTTTTAATCAGTTAATGAATTAATTAATTAGTGGTGTTTGTGGGATTGGTGGCAATTGATTGAAGTGTGGTGCCTGTGGTGCAGAGGTACAGGTTGGAAGAGTACAAAGAAGGGAAAGATCTGCTGGATAGGTGTGATAAGCTGCTGAACAGCATAGCAGAAATAACAGCAGCCAACGAGTTGCAACCGAGTCCAGTATCGGTTCTGGACTCGTCGTTTGACAAGGACGACTGGTGTTCACCATCCCCTATAACCAAACGCTGCATTGATTACAAAGGTAAGTGGTTAGCTTAGCTTGTGTTGCAATTGGTTACAGAATGAAATTAGATTTTGTTGTGACGCATTATTTGTGTGTGCATATCCAAAGTTGGAGCATGTCATGATGTATCATGTATCATGTAGGAGGTCTAATGGCTAAGACCCTAGGGGAACTTAATGGAACAAAATATCTAACGTTAGTCAAGGGCTTTTACTTTGAAGCTGCTCCCGTTTTGTTTTTGCTTTGGTTTGTATCCAACTACAAGTACGGGAACAGTAGATGGTTTGTCCTCTCGCTCTCCCAAAATCCCAACCAATGTGGACCAATCATTTGATCCCAGGGATGTTGACATGGCATCACTCAGTTGGCTCAGTCACTTACCTCAAAACTGCACTGCGGTGCGGTGCGGTGCCTGTTTTTAATCGTACTATCACGTGGGAGGGACTGACTCACTTCGCGTCTTCAACACTCTCACCGTCCCAAAGAATCTTCCTAATTTTTTAATTCCACTAACATATACTGTGCACACTTTTATCCGTTTCATTTTTTTTTAAATTCATTAATATTGTGTTTGTTAGTTAACGAAGATAACAAATGCGGTGTAATTACATTACAGATCAAGCGGCGGAGTCAGAAGATGATATGTGGAGTGCGGCACTGTGCAGTAGCGAGGAGGCAGCGTCGGAGGATTGCGATTTCGTGTACGTATCGGAGATTCTTCGAGCGTGCAGTTACTTGCCGGAAGAGAGCGACATTTTTCTGTTACTGGAGAAGCAGCAATGCCTGAAAGGAAAGGATACCTCAAAGGCTTCGACGCTGCAGAGGCGGTTGATCTTCGACACTCTCCAGGAGATCCTGCAGCGGAACCAACAGTTGCCGCCGTGGAAGGCGGTGTCGTACGGCGAGCAGAGGCAGAAGATCTGGTCGGAGTTTCGGAGGATCCGAGAGAGGGAAGAATCGGAATCGGAGGACTTGTTCAAGGTTATATGCGGAGTGTTGAAGAAGGACATGGCGGAGGAAATGCGGGGGTGGGGAGAATGGGCGGTGGAGATGGGAGATGTGGTGTTAGACATTGAACGTCTGGTGTTTAAAGATCTGGTTGGCGAAACCATTAGAGAACTCGCTTCGTTTTCTCCTCATTGTAACAACGACAAGCTACCCGCGCTTCGTAGGAAACTCCTCTTTTGAATTCCATTCACAAACATGAAAAAAAAAAGAAAAAGCAAAGGAGTTGCACGCTTTGTTTAAATTTTTCGCGCGCTTGCATCTTTTTTCCTTTTGTAGCTTCGTTTTATATGATTTTACTTTTACTCACTGTCAATGACGAAATCAGGAATTTTAAATCTGAAATCTAGGCAAATCTGACCTTGGAATGAATTGTTGGATTGTTTTTTTATTATGTTATTATATGGTATGTTGTGCGGGCGGTCATGTGTAGTTGATCATCGAACACTTAACATTGAAGGATAGACACGCAGCATATCGGATAAGGATGTCAAACATAACGAAGCAAGAGAGAAAACCTGTTGAGCCTATGCATGTGGACTTGCTTATCGGGGAAGTTGTCTTACGATAAGCTAATTAATGATGACAACCGTTTCTTACCCTTAATTTGGTCCTACAACTACAAAGCAAGGTCGCCAAACGGTCTGTGGACCTTGAGCTGCACATTTGGACCGGACCTTCAGTTTTATTTTTGACAACTTTGTTACAAACAAGCCTATCACCACATTTAAATCCGAAATGGGAACAAGAACGAAAGGTGAGTTTAATCTATTAAGTTCCCCCTATGTAATACTAAGAAAAAGAATCTTTAAAATATTAAAAATGTTATAAAAAGAAAAGCATCGGCAGGTTTGAACGTTGTGAGTACCCCATTTGCTTTATCTTCTGACAAAGGATAGCGATAATTGAAAAATAGATTGCTGCTTGGAAGGACATTAGGGTGGTTTTGAAATCACAGAAGCAACCTACCTATAAGTTGGTTTTTTGTCCAGTTTCAGTACTTCTATGAAAATGGTTTGATGCTCATATTTCCGATTGGGAAATGGCATGACAAACCTGGATATATATATATAGAGGTATCAAGACTCTGGGGTCCTCTGTGTCTCAGTTTCAATACTCTCTACTCTTCCTGTCTTCCAAAGCTAAGTCAACCACGTGTATCAGAAGCACCCTATAAGAAGATGAGATATACATCACTGAAATCGCACATCACATGGTTATTAGGTTAGGTATTTATACTACTCTGTCCTCATCATCAATGAAAATATACATGTAACATCTGCAAACCAATAATGTTACATTCTCTGTGCTGCTGTTTTCACCTATCACTCTATTCTAACTCCATTTCCATCCTTAAGACGTGATGATTAATCAAATTGTTGGGCCATTTAAGAAAACGCGACCAAGTAACACTGCCCCACAATCGCTTAATCGGTTGGTTCCTTAATTAGTTACAGGATGGTTACATTAACTACTTGATGGCAACGCTTCATCCAACGTAACTTGTTGGATCTCAAATGTAGCATGACAACAAGGACATGTTGCAGATCCAATAATTCATACTCTCTCACACTGCTATACATCCCTTTCTTTTTTTCTTTTGCTTTTTTTCTTTCCTCAATTATAGGGCGATGGATAGCGGGTACAACTTTGAATCCATACGTTTCTGCAATAAGCATGTGCATTGCAAGCCCTTCACAGTGACCATCAAATGTCCATCATATTATATCAGACCTTAATTTCTACACAGTACAAAAAACTTACCATCAACTACTCAGGAATCATAGGTAATCAACAAACCATGATCAAATAATAATCATAAGCCCTTTACATGGTTTCTGTGCAGCAAAGGTTCAAACGATAAAACAACTCCAAGAGACTCCATCAAGAACATTTACATTTATTTTTTTTGCATAATGTTATGCACCTAATTAAGGTTTGGTGTTGGTGGGGTTGAGAGAAGTGGGGAGGTATCTAAGCAGAAGCAGCAGCAGCAGCAGCAGCAGCAGCAGCATATAGTACCACAGCTAGCAGAGTTTGGAAACTTTTTTGAATCGAAAGTGGGTCATAACCTTTTGTTTCAGTTTGTTTTTAATGAGGGTGATGGCCCATGTGTTATTCAGAGGTGTTTATATTCCACTGGCACATCTCACTGGTCTTAATTGGCCAACCCCCACCAAATGCAAGGATTAAGGTTCTTGGTCTTGACTTTGTTTTGGGAGTGAAAAGCTTTAAGCAATGGGGCTGTGTTTGTTGCCTCAAAAGGGCACAAACCTAACCACGTAGGGTTGTATGAAAAAGAAGTGAAGTGGGAGAGATAGAGGCACATGGAACTCATTAAACCTGTCCATTCCTTGTCTTGGATCGTTCTTTGTTATCACTTGTGACTACTGTTGTCTCCTCAGCCTTTGTCTCCTTCTTCGCCTAATCATAAATGATCATCCCAATGCCCAGCACCAAACCCCTTTGCTTTCTTTTTTCTAGCCATCCTCTTTCATATCTCCATTTATCTCTTCTAATGCAAATTTTACCTTCCCACCCACCCCACACAATGTCACATCATTATCATCGGACAACAATTCACGATCAAACTAACTTAATTACTGCTCCATTTTCATCAAATCTTTTTATCTTCCTTCTTTCTATCAATTTTTCACACTCCCTTCTCTCACAACCTTTGACTTTGGTCAAAGGGAATAATGAATGACCAAAGTTTATTTTCCTTATGGTTTATAGGAAAAAAAAAAGTGGTTATTTTTTTATTTGGTGATGTCAAAACATATCACCCTTTTTATAAAATGAAAAATGTTAAAGCTTTAACATGGGAGTCGGGTTTAAGAGTTAATTAAAAGAAAGAGGAAAGAAAAAAGAGAATGAAAAGAACAACATAGAAAAAAATTATATGTGTAAAAAGTAATATGTTTTCAAGTTATAATAGAAAAGAAATATATGAATATAAAAGTAAAATGCTTTTTAAAGTTTTTCAATAATAATTAAAAAACAAAAAACTTACGTGAGTGATTGTTTTAACATAATGTTAATTATGCATTTAATTGTAAATATATTTAAATGTTAGAATAACTGAAAAAAATTAGAGAAAAAGTTAATATATTTTGTAAATTTTACATAAATTTGAAAACATATTTCATCATCATTTATAACAAAAAAAATACATGATTTTAAAGTGAAATTTTTTTACAGTTTCTAAAATATTCTTTTGTCTTAGTTTCTAATCAATATAAGAGATTCTCTTGACAAATAACATCTAATATATAAGTTATTAGAAAAAGAAAATGTTAATTGTGGAGTAGTATAAACAATATGCATGTAATAATACTTCCTTTATCGTGTACTGCACTGCAAAAACAAACTATAGACTCTATTGGGCCAACTTATTTTTTCACCACATGCTTTCTTCCCCACCTCCATTAGTGATATTGGAAAAGTTTGAAAATTACATATTTTCCGGTTTAACTTGTTTTATAAATGCTTCCATTTAAAAAAACGAAGAATATAAAAAAGCGGTGACAATTTTAAAAATTTTAAAAATTTGAATTGAAACCATATATTTATTTAGGTTTCGATAATTAAAGAACATGAATTTTCAGATTATTTTAAAATTTTGATCATTTTTTTAATGATTTTAACTTAGAGAGAAGATTTGGCTCTAGTTCTCAAATAATTGATATCATATTCATATTTTAGTTATTATAAAATCGAAACTGAAATATGAGCTAAAATTTTAAAAAATCTCGTTATTTATTTTAAATAATTTATCTGATAAATAATCTCGACGATTTTTAGATAACCAATATCATATATTTTTATGACTTCGGATTTTCAAGACATGAGACCATAAAATTAAATAAATTTTCAATTTTGTCATTATAATTATTTAAGTATTTTATCTGAAAAAGGGAATATGATCTTCGTTTTCATAAAATCGAGACGGTATAAATCTATGGCTTTGATTTTTCCATATTCGATGCCATAAAATTGACTAAAATTTCAAAATTGTCACTCTTGTTATTGAACTATTTTACATGAGAAAATGGATATGACGTTGGTTTACAAACTTGACACCACAAAATTGAAAAACATTTCAAAATTACCAATAAATTAATATTTTTTTATTTTATTCCCAAGTATTAGACTTCAGTTTTTAATAGAACCGAAAGCATAGGATATTATTGTTTCGATTTTATAAATAACTTAAACCAAAAGTTTGCCTAAGGTAAATTAAGGTGAAATTTTTATGAAATTGTCACTATTCTTATGTCACTACAAAGTCATTTTCAAACGACCTATGTTTCATCACCATTTCAACTAATTTCCTCCCTTATTCCACCTGTGTTTTCTTTCTTTGCCACTCTCCGCCATTGTTGCTCCATTCTTGCCATTATAACTCCACTCATACACTTTCCTGTCACTATAGATCACCATTTTGGAAGTCAACACTCATGTTTATCCATTTCTACCTGTGTGAACTCCTCCCTACTAACACTATCATTCTTTCATTTCCCTCATTGTGAAGATGTTCCCATTTTCGTTATTGTCCTTCCTTTATTTCCACCATGTGAGGTTCATTCTCTTCCCTCATTACTTTTCTTTTTCATTAAGTTTTGTTATTGTCTTCCTAATTAAAGCATGTATTTTGTGTCGCCATTTGTGTTTAGGGTACTGCATTTTGGTTGCATTGTGTATGTCACGTTTCTTTGCTTCCAAAACGTGCTCCATTGTTGCGGTTCATGAAAAATTTAATGAAGTACATAATGCATTTAGGAAAGCATCCAAGAAAAAAATCATTATTCTTTGATCTTTCATATTGGTCAAAGTTAGAGGTTAGGCATTGCATAAATGTAATGCATATATAGAAGAATGTATGTGATAACTTGATTGATACACTACTCAACATTCAGGAAAAGATAAAAATGGAGTAAAGCAATTAAATAGAAGGTCCGATAAGACTTAGCGTACTTATTTGTCCCACATGTTACCTTATGTCCAATTAAGAGAAAGGACTAACAATGACAATCAAAACTAACCTTAATGTGAAAAGCAATTAAATAGAACAAACCGTTGAGAGAAAATGAACAATGAAATGGAAAAAATCAAGCTTTTCGTAGTGAAATGGAGAAACACTACCGTGTTTCGCTTCATTGTTGTAGTTGAGTTGAAACACCATTGTGGTTTGCATCATTGTTGCAATCAGGTGTGTTTGGGATTTTGAGTTTTTGTTGCAAATACAAGAAAACCAATATTGGAAGTAAAATGGAGAAACACCACTCGTCACCGCTATAGTTAAGTGTGAGTTTTTGTTTGAAATGCAGGAAAACCTATCGCACGCAATGTAGTGAGGAGTAAGACACTATTTTATGGTTTTAGAAAACT